CCCCGGGGGGCCCGGAGCGGCTGGAGGCCTTCCGCCAGGAAGTCGAGGCCTGGCCCAGGTATCGCTGGTGCTGACACTTCCCCCTCGGATGCCTCGGTCCCCCCGATTTTCTGGAGTCTCTCGTCGCGGCCCGTCTCTTTCCCCCGAGGATCCCGCTGTCTTTGGAAAGAGGGCGGAGGCTGGGCCAGCGAAAGTTTGACATTTGCACCGCGGAGGGCCCCCGGCGCTGCGGAACAGGTAACTCTCGCGCCCTGACTTGCCTGGTGTAAAACTAAAGAACTGCTTTCAGCCCTCGCCCCCCCTCCCCAAGAAAAGTCCTAAATCCTACGTGCTGACTGCTGAGGTCCGGCTGATTTCACGGCAGACTCAAATGAATCTTTTCCTGGTTGCATTCTTACGTGTAGGAAGTTCGGTCGGAGTTAGGAGTTCAGCTAGTCCGGGGACGGTTCCCTATCCCAAAAGAACGAAAATTGGGAATGGCCCGACAGGCAGTTCGGTCTTGGCGGGGGAAGACAAACACCCCCCTCCAGATGTTTTGGACTTCAGCTCCCATCAGCCCCGACCAGCAGGGCCAGCGGCAAGGGACTGTGGGGGTTATAGTTCGAAAAATCGGGAAGACGCCCAGTAGCCTTTCCCTGCCAAGGCCGAGCTGCCTGTCAGGCCATTCCTTCAGAAGGATTTCATTTACATATGTGATTTATTAATGTTATTGATCTGAAAGTTTAGCTAATCTGATGGAGGACTGTCTGCATACCAGCATAGTGCTCCAGGCCAGTCCAGATTACAGCACTCTGTAGTAAATGTATTCACTCACTTTCGCTCGTTGCAACCAGTAAGTATTTAATTTTACTTGCTGTAAGGAGGCAACACCCCCCCCCCCAATAAATTTACCAGAGACTCCCTGGATTGTAAAGCAGCTCCTGGATCTTGCCTTCCCACTCAGCAGAGTCCTGCATTAAAAGAGTCCAAATAATATATTCTGTGTTTTCTTATTTTATTTACAAAGACCAAAATGATGGGATGTCTCTCCTAAAGTATAGGTTGTGGTGAATTATTGTGTTTGGTGGTTGAGAAACATGGATTTAACATTGGAAAAGTTGGGTGTCACTTTGAGGAGTAGACGTCAGGTGGGAAGTAACAGGAAATTACTGATGGGTGGGGGCAGTTCCTTCAAGGAATGTGTTAAAATGACGCATAATAGGCCTGGTTCAATCAGGTGATTTTTGGAAAGGTTTGCAAATGGGAGCCAACACAGATTTGTTCAACACAATATTGGTAAATCACCCATTTGTATTCTAATGCTGAATATTAGCATACAGGTTTATTGTTCTTAGCTGTTATGCTTTGGACTTAACTTCTTCACCATATTATCTCAACTATGCCTTTAATTCCCACCATGTATCTATATCAGGAGGAGTCTGGAAACACCTTTTCCAACATTTTATTAAAAAGCATAAACCTTCATGAGTAGCAGCTCACATCATCAGATGCACAGAGTTGCTTGACTGATTCAGGGTTTAAACTGGAATGAGGGGAAGGCAAGTTGGTTATTCCGATGCAGGTTACCTATGAGACAGGTTAAAATAATAAACTTTTAATAAAACTGGATAGTCAGAAAAGGTGCTACCAGATTCCTGATTTTTTGCTACCATAGATTAATATGGCTCTCCTCCTACAATGCATGCATCTATAAATAATAGTTGCTAGAAAATTTTCCAGTGCTAGCTGCTCAGCCACTCACATACTAGAAAAGCCATGTTTCTTGGGAACTACTCCATTTGAATATGGCTTATTCTATGCAAAAGGCTGTTTCAGCCATTGCCCAGATCAAGCAGATGACAAGAACAGCCCAATCCTACCATTGGATAGACCCCTGTTGGGTGGCAGCCTGCCTATCCCCCATAACCTAGCTTGTTGCAACAATTATCTGACGTATTTTACTGCCTGTAGTGAAAAACCCAAGATGATGCTTCCCCCTGTTTCATAGATCTTACTCCAAAAGTACTGATGATGTAGCATCCCCTGGTCTTCCTGAAGAAAGCACACACAGGTGTCTGCAGAGTATAAGTCAAGGCAGCAACCATCATGGTGTGATTGAAACTCCGCTTATGTTTTCATATGGGTTGCACGTGTGTGAACATACCCTGTGAACACCCCCAAAGTTAAGCAGGCTAACTTGAGGATTCAAGTTGGGCCTTGGGATATGCTCCTTTCTCCTTCAACTGTCTGGTGCCACCTACAAGAATCTGCCCCTTAAGGCAGCTGCCTCACCCTGTCTGAAAGTAGGACAGGCCCTGGTGGTATGCAGGATCGAAGGGGGCCATCACAAAATATGGTCTCACAATGATATCCGTAATAGAGTTTCTGGTCCTTATATCCTGGATGTTGACACTAGAGCTCTGTGTATGCCACCACACATTGTGCAAATGTGTAAAGTAATAGTGGAGCATGCATCTCAAGGTATGGAAAGTTTTATTCTTTATAGATTGTGAACAGAGGCTTGAATGTGTGTTGACCATTGCAGAAGAATCTAGAGGGGTTGACCATAAAGTGTTGGGTGTTAATCACAGTTAACCTAATTTTGATAAATCCTTTTTTTCACACAATTTTGCTACCTGGATCTTCTTTCCCTTCCATGCCTACCCTTTGCCCTGTTTGATGATTTATATTTTTTTTTGCCTTCATGTAATTAAACAACCGAA